CCAGCGAGCCTCTGCACCAAAGTTTTAAAGGGTGAAGTCGGCTGAGGATATTGCTTAGTAGTAGAGCACTTGTCTAACCTGGTGATCCCTCGGGTTCCTTCCCCAGTGCGAGGAGGAGGAAGAGGAGGAGGAGGAGGAAGAGGGGAAAGGAGAGGAGGAAGAGGAAGATGAAGAAGAAGAGGAGGAATAAGAGGAGGAAGAGGAGGGGCTGGAGAGATGACTCAGAGGTTAAGAACACTGGCAGCTCTTCCAGAGGTCCTGAGTTCAATTCCCAGCAACCACATGGTGGCTCACAACCATCTGTAATGAGGTCTGGTGCCCTCTTCTGGCCTGCAGTCAGAACACTGTATACTTAATAAATAAAATAAATCTTAAAAAAAAAAAAGTCTTAAAAAAAAAAGAGGAGGAAGAGGAAGAGGTGGAAGATGAAGAAGAGGAGGAGGAGGGGGAGAACGAGAAGGAGGAGAAGGAGGAAGAGGAGGGGAGGAGGAAGAAGAGGAAGAGGAGGGGAAGGAACACACCAGCTAGATTTCATTTAATTTCACTTTGTAAATAAAACTCTGACCTAGAACTCATTAAAATGAAATAAAAATCATGGCAAAGGAAGCCTATTTCCCTTCTCAGTGGTTTCTCCTTACTTGGGCTGAGACGGACCACCTATAGATTTCATCCTCTGAAACTCAGGAAGAGAAAGATCTGTTTTACTATTTGTTGGTGCCAGAAGAAACAAAACCTTAACATCTCCCTGTTCCCTGCAATCTAATCACACTCTGTAGCTGGAATGAGAGGCTGATGTGCCTCGTAGCAAGCCGGCCATCAGCTGGGCCAGAGAAGGAAGCCTGTCGCCAGATGAGAGTCTGCTTGGTGACCCAGTGCCACAGCTCTCTCCTCCTGCAGCAGTTTGGGTCTCAACAGAGCAGGGGGATCTGCTTCTCTGCTACCCACCGAGAGAGGTGTTGCCCATCATGAGTGGAGCGCTGGGGTACTTCATTTTCAGGTCCAGGAGGTCTTTTAAGGTTCCTGGGGCAATCCAGGTAGTCCTCTCCCCACAAAAAGTCAGAGCTCTCTTTTGGGGATCCTCTGCCATTCTCTGCAGTATTTAAATTCAGACAATGATGATGTTAGTGACAGAGCACACATAGACGTCTTCACAGCTCGCAACTGAACAGGCAGGAACTGAGGATCACAAAACAAAGGCAGGTATTTTTCGTCTAAATTCATAACTAAATTAATTCCTTTGAATATTTTTCTCATCTCTTACAGCTTAAAAAATGAAGTAGACTTTAATGAAGTCTTAACATAAACAAACAAGACTCTTACATACACAATCTTATGTCAATTTCCCAACCAAAGAAATGACTGTAAACCAAACTATCGATGACGACAGACTGTCACCAGAGACTTAAGCACATATGGGCTGAGGGCTACGTGATATTACCAGGCAGAGAAACATGATGAATGTACCAGGAGACAGGAGACTCAGGTTCTAAATCAGCCTGGCTACTGAGTACCCAGATCAATTTAGGAAAACTCTGGATCCTCTCTCTCTCTGTCTGGCTTGATGTGTGTGAAAACTAAGGATGATGTATGAATGTCATTGGGCTCTCAGTGGTCACTGAAATACGGGGTAAAGCTGTTTTGCTGAACAACAAAAAGCAACGCCCCCCCCCCAACCACAACAAACCAGTGAAAACAGAAAACATGCAGCTTATTGAAGCCAGTGGGACCTTCCATTGATGTTTATGGCTTCCTAAGCAAGACGGAGAGCTTCAACGCTACCGGTGGGTTTTTCTCAGTTGTTAACAGCAGAATTTCCTTAGGTTTTCCTGCCATCAATTTCTCTAAAACAAATGGCTGTGATAGGTAGTAATACATTAACGTGAACGAGCGTGAGATAAATATTCATGAAGATAATTTCATGCTTAGTCAAGCAGACTTTTAATTTTGGTTTCCTTCCCTTCTCTCCTCTCGTGGACTTCCTGTGCCCTCTGTTTTGATTTGATACAGGAATCATTTAATATGCTCATATTTTCTACCTAAAATAATTTCTACCCTACTAAGTCAAATCACATTTGGCTTTATTTTTCAGTGTGCAGGAAAGAAAGCATAAGTATGCTAACGACTCATACAGCTTTACCAAAGGAAAAAATACAACAAGGAGCCAATCAGAGACATGGCCTGGTCAAGGTGACATGGATTGTTACCGGGAAGAGGATGTGAACTCCAGAGCACCAGGGTCCTTGCCTGGTGCCCTCTGAAACCAAAGTTGTGGGCATTTAGAAGAAGCATGGTTTCAACAGTCTCTGCCAGTTAATATTAAACAAGGCAACCGTTTCTCAAGCAGGAATCGAATTGCTTAATTTGTTTCAAATGAACTTTGATGATATCCTGGCAAACAAATTTTATGAAAACATGCTTGCTCTTTGCCGGAGCATCCATGGGGAAGGTCTTTTGGTATAATTTCCATGTTTTAATGGGTCATCTCACTGAATAATTTTGTCGTACAGGAATCCTGGCAGAAGGCCGCTGGAAACAAGCTGTCACTAAAGGCGGACTGATTAAATGAAAACTTCTTTATCACTGTAAATGTTGCATTTAGCTAAGTGTCTACGTATTGAGTGGGGAAGGATGATGGACAGAAGAGTTCCTGGGCATGTGGGAAAACTCTGATTACTGAAATGTGTCATATGCTCTCAGGTAAAGCCAGCACTTCTCAAAGTAGAGTCCAATCACTTCTGGCAGTCCCCCCAGAACACACTTTGGGGGTTCCAAAGTCAAAACTGTTTTATAGTGAAGAACAATGTATACGATTTGCTTTCTTCCTTCCCATTGTCTGAGGAGTGTATGCCTGAGTGTAAAACTGCTCCGTGGTGTGTGTCCTCACACCTATCTGCAGCTGTATGTGAACCCAGCTGCTTTCTCTTAAGCCAGAGTTAGAGAGTTGTACAACCGTCTGGAAACAATGCCACTCTTGTTACTGAATTTGGTTCCCAGCACCCACACAGCAGTGAACCATCCATAATTCCAGTTCCAGAAGATCTGATGCCCTCTTCTGGCTTCCATGGGCATTGCACACATGTGGTGTGCAGATACTACATTTAGGCAAAACACCCAGACACATAAATAAATATTTTAAAACGTTTGCTCTGGCTACTTATAAGGAAATGAATTGAATAATTAAAATATTTCCACTTGAATTTCACACACTGTATCTGTCAATAGCTATAACCCACATAACAAAAACGTGCTGGGTTGTCACTCTTAAAGATGTATGTGGCACTGGAACCAAGCCAAACCAAACCAACCCCCCCCCCAAAAAAAAAACCCACAAAAAACAAAAAACAAACAAAAGGCCAAGAACTGTGTAGAGTGCCGGTCCTCGGCCATTCTCTTGCACACAAGGCAGCAGAGACAAGCGCCCCATTGCAGGAGAATAAATATCCCCTGGGGGAAGGGAGGGGACACTGCCCACATCAGCAGGACTGTCCTCAGGAAGAGGCAGTTTGTCCTTTCCACATCAGGGGTGTCCAGCCTGGGGCTGGATACTTGGGGCTCTCCTAATAGAAGCTTGAGAAACAGAAAATAGAAAGGAGTCCACGGGATGCCTAGAGAAGTGATTGGACAATGTAAGGGAGGCAGCTCAGAGCCTTGTACCAGCATGGAGCTGATGGTTACTGAAGCAGGGGCCCAGATCTGCCCATGCCTGCTCCTAGTCTTAGCCTGAATTTCCTATGGATCTTTATGGGTATTGGGTACCAGAATGCATTTGCCCTGGACATGGAGTATGAGAAAAGATCAGAGACAAGATGGAGCCTGTCCACAGGCAAAAATAAATTAAAAAAAAATATGCGTTTGTGACTCTGGAGGGCCACACAATACAAAGTCACCCAGGGGAGCAAATATGGGCGGAGACGCCGGTGGGGAGGAGCTGATGATGGGACTGTTCATTCTCTCACGAGCACCATCAAGTAAGGCAGGGGGAGAACAAACCGTTAGCTCAGGTGGGAATATAAGCTCCTGAGTTGGATCCAAAGGCTGAAATTCTTCTTTTTCATACAATTTGGGGTAAATCTGAAGAGGGAAAAAAAAGTTTTAGTCTTTGTGGCAAAGGTTGGTACCTGGTTCTCGGCAGCCATGTAGTGACTATCGTTTGTTTGAAAAGCCTGGACTGGGGACTAGGACATAAGGACAGTGGCCAGAGGGCGGAGGAGGGCAGGGGAGGGCAGAGAAGGGCAGAGAAGGGGAGGGGAGGGCAGGGGCTTTCAGGTTGTGCCTTGCCCTAAGTTGACTCCATTTTGAGTGCAAGCACAGAGACAGGATGACACTGTATCTTGTGTGTGCAAGCAGACAGCACCCCCTGCCCAGCAACAAACCAGGGGACATGGTGTGCCAGCTTATTCAGGCAAGACAAGATGCCCGCTGGGGAAGATTGGGAGCGTGTGACAAATTAAAACCACATCAGCAAAGCCAGGCCGGAGAATTCATCAAACACTCTAGACCAGCAAAGAGCATAACCCCTCACCTGGGTCACCTGAAATGAAGGCTCTGTCGTGGCCATTGAGGGCCTCCCTGACCTGGCCACCCCATGTGTGTGCAACAAGACACCCGACAGGCAGAGGGATCCTGATGGTCCCCTGAGTTCCAGCTCATTATCGTGCCCACTGCCTGACTGGCCCTCTCCTGGGGGCGCCAAATTTGGCACCAGTCCCTCTGCCTGGCCTCGGCTTGCCTTGAGCCCGGCTTGGCTCTGCCTCCAGATGCTCTCTCATGGGGTTCTTAATAACTCCCCTGCAACGGCTCTTTGCATCTGTATTAGCTGCGGTCTTCAATAAGCCAACTCCCCAAGTCTGTAGCCCCTCCTCCATTAACCCCTTTGTGGCTGTTCTATAACACACATAATCTTACTGCGCGTGCAGTGTGTGATTTGAGAGTTGACATGACTACTTGAGATCGGAATAAAAGTATCTGCTATTGCTAGGATCACGCCACCAAGAGAAAAGGGATTCCCTGTCAAGTCACAGCGGTCGGAGCTGACACCGTGCAGTGTGCCCTGATTTATATATCTTACCGGTATGGGAAACAACAAACGCAGCTTCAAGAAGTCCATCCCCATCTGCCCGCAGGCTACTGGCCACTGAGTCCCCAGTCTGGCCCTCTCTCACCAAGTCCCTCCCACAGGGTGCAAGGAGATCCCAGAGTTAGGGAACATTCCACCCGCAGCCAGAACCCCACTGCCTGCTAGCCATAGGCTTTTGGCACCATGACCTCAGGGTTCTTCCACCCAGAAGCCCCCAGTCCACTTCCCAGGACCCCTGTAGGCTTCTCCGCTCCACGCCCCTCCTCACTGAGAGATGCCTGAGCGGGGGCTGAGGGAAGAGACTGGGAGTGGGTGGGACTGGGACACATGAGCTGGGTGTTCGGTCTGTGATGCCAGCCGTGTGGGACAGCGCTGGGCACAGAGAGATGAGGACTGGGCTCGTCTCCTTAATGTTTCTGCTTTGGGCCTGCAGATACGGGTGACGGGCCTGACCCCCTGTCACTTCACGCAGGGATATTTGGTGGCTGTGGGCTAAAGAGCCTACGCTATTCTTACAAATGTCTTCCTCTCCTTTCTCTCTAGACTAGAAACCAAGTGAACTTGACTTTAGAGGAAGTGGTGTTTTTAATGTAACTACTATAATGTCCACAGGAATCTCACTTTGTTTAAACATGTTTGTGTGTGTGCAATTATAATAAAATCATGTTGAACTGCTGAAAAGTCTACAGAAATAAAACAGCTTCGTAATAGCATGGTGTAGATGTAACCACTCCTGTCATTATGTCTATTTTTTCCATTCCTAATCTCACTTTGCATATATGTATTTATATTGCATATGCTGGTAATCGTTAATGGTGCCAAATTCTCAAATCTCAAATTGCTTCACTTTAGATAAGTCATTTTTATGTTTAAATTCTTTAAAGGTTACAGAAGAAGATTCCAGGTTAGTGTAAGTTCCAATTAAGCAGTTATGTCAAGACAGTCTTAAGTGATCCCCTGTTGCTAGACATTCAGGTTAGCACCAACCCTTATTACACATAACCCTGAGGTGCACATCTTTTTTCATAGTAAATATGTGACTTATTTTTAATTATTTTCCTGGAGTGGATTTCTGGCAATGAAATTGCTCAGTCAGAAAGTATAAAAGCAAAATCTAATGCCCTCGACTCACAAATTCCATTGCTTGCCACAACTGGCTGAAAGGGAGATTCTGGACCTCAGTCATTAGGAAAATCAGACATTTAATATACAACTGCTGTGTGGCGTTCAACCTGGGCCTTTATGAGCAAATGTGCTCTATTCCAAACTTCCTTCAGTGGTCACCCGGTTACACTGAAGAAGCCACTGAGCTGGCTTTGAGCCAGGTCCTGTCTTCCCAAAGCCAGCTTCCCACGCTGGGGCCATCTTTACTATTCACCACAGCCCTGTTCGGAAGACTCCTTTCTTTCGGGTGGACTCCTGCTGGCGGTGACCAGAGGCCAATGAACAGAAAGGGTGGAAAGGCCAGAAGTAAGACACTTGTTTAGGGAGCCTCTGCTCTTTCCCAGCACGCAAAACCCTGTAACTCGTGTGGGCAGGATGCACTGAGGGCAAATAGAAGAAGATGGAGGGACTCGAGGGAAGGAAAGGGAGACTCACACTGGTTTTCTTCGCCGGCTCATTTTCTTCTTCATCCAAGCAACATTTCCCGTTCCCATTCATCCGGCAGCAAGATGAACTCTGTAGAAGACAACATTAATGGTTAAATCAGAGAGTCATAGAGTTGTATGAATCCAGGGGTAAGAATGATTATGATGATGATGGGATGGGATGCTTGCAATGTGTGTCCCTCCAGAACGCATACTGAAACTTAAGAGCCATTGTGATCGTGTTAGAAGGAGTTTCCACTCAAGAATGGACTAATGCCACTACAGCCAGAGAAGATTTCTATTTAAAGGACAGTCTAGAACCCCTAGCAGCCAGCCACTGGAAAGACTTCTTACCTCTAGGAATCCTCAGACTGAAAGGGCCTAGCGCCTGTCTCCACCCCGCCTTATCACTTCCTCTCTCTGCTTCACCATATCACTTCCTGTTTCCTCCTCCCAAGTAGTGAGATCAAAGGCATGTGCCTCCCAAGTACAGGGATCAAAGGCATGAGATCCCAAGTGCTGGGATTAAAGGTGTGTGCCACCACCGCCTGGCCTCTAGTGGCTAGCTCTGCTCTCTGATCTCCAGGCAGCTTTATTTGTTAGAGCACAAACAAAATATCACATTTGGCTCTCTTTTACCCTCAAATCTCTTCCACGATTGCAGTGTCTTCTGCCAAGTTATAACACAGCAAGAGAGTCCTTGCTCCATGGAACCCCCTGATCTTGACTGTATGAGCTTCTAGAACTGTGACCAATGGATTTCTGGTCATTAGAATTGATCCAGTGTGTGGTATTCTGGTCCAGGAATATAAAATGGACTCAGACACAGAGGTGGTGGAAGTGGTAAACTGTGTAGGTTGTGGTCTAGGTTTGGTTGAGCTAACAGTCTGTGCTCCGCATGACGTTTTGTGTTTTGTGGACATGTTATGTTTTAATTCTTTTAATCACGATTCCACTTCACAGACAAGAAAACAAGGGCTTAGGAAAGTTATGTGATTTATCAAATTGTGTAGCTAGAGAATTGTGGAATCAGGATTTGGGGCTATGCATTCTGATATGAAGTTAGTTTACGGTTGTTCAGCATAACTTTATGTTCTAATTATTAATAGTAACTGCAATTTCCCCATTGTCTCTCCTAGTCTAGGCTTATGCCCATTGCTCACCATGTATTAAAACCTTTAGTTTTCAATGAACCTCTCCTGAGAGAAGGTGGGGGGGCGGTTTTTCCAGGGGGGGGTGGGGGGCTTTGGGGGCCTTGGGGTTTTTGAATTCGTGCCACCTTTTTTTGGTTTTTCCGCAGGTTGCGGGGTTCCTTGCCACTTCTTTCTTTTTGTTCTGCTTTGTCCTGTCTTGCCTTGGGTTGGGGTGGATTGGCTTGGCGGTCCTGTTCTTTTTTTGTTTTGTTTTGCTTTGCAGCCCCCTGGTTTGGTTCGTTGAGTGGCCTGGGGTTTGGTTTGGTTGGGGTTTGGGTTGTTTTCTTTACATTTTTTTTATTTATTTTTTTTTTGGGTGAGGGTCTTTCTTTGTTTGTTGCTCCCTCCCTGCCTTCGCTCTGTATGTCGGCCTGGTTTTTCTTTTGTTTTTATTTTTTCTTTGTTCGTCTCCTTGGTGGTTGCTTTGCTTGTGTGTGTGTGTGTCCATTTAGTTGCACGTCTGTGTGTGTGTGTTGGGTGGGTGTGTGTGTTGCTTTCTTTGTTCGTTCCCCTGGCTGTTGGTTGGGTGTGGGTAGAGAGAGAGAAGGCCGGCTGGCTGTGGGTGCTTTTCTTTCCTGCCCTCGGTCGGTAGGGCGAGGTGGGTGTCTGTGTGTTCGTTGGCGGCCTGTTTTGTCTAGCGAGTTCGATGCCGGGCAGGCACCCAACCCAGAGAGAGCCTGTTTTTCTTGAACAAACAAACAAACAAACAAATAAAAAAATAGAGAGAGAACCAACTTAACAAGTTGCTCTCTGACCTCCACATACATGTATTCACACCCTGTATAAATTTAAAACATACAAAAAAAACATTTGAACCAGAGAATTTATGAGCCTTTGGGTTGATGAAGCACCCCATGCTAGGAACATGGTAGACCTCAAATCCATTGACTGGATGTCCTTTCTAGATGTTCTCTGCTGTACCAGTTCATCTAGCTATTCACCTGTTCCCTTTATAACAGATTTTAAAGCAACCCAGCAAGACTAAGCAGTGTTTCCTGAGTTATGGCAAATTATTGAAGTTGAGGAGGGAAGGAAGTCCTAGGAACTACTAATTTTTAGCTAGCGGATCAGAAATACCAAAGGCCCAGTCCGGCATTTGATAAGATGAAATCAGTCTTGTGAGCCCTTAACTTGTCGAGTGTGACACTAACTCTGAGTAGTTAGTGTCACACTACTAGGTTAAAGCAGAGTACCCTGTGAGCATCTGGAGGGTTGGAAGACTGGTGTGGGAAGCCCTGCATGTCTGACATCAGGGTTGCTCTAGGAGGCTGTGGGAAGCATGCGGTGCCTGCTTCGGAGAGGTCTGCAGATGGCGAGGGCAGAGGGAGTCCTGGACTGATGCTTTGTGGATGTTGCAGATCTCACATTCAATTGAGTCCACCTAACGTGAATGATGGAGACGGCTTCTCCTCTCTTCCCCATCTCCCATCAGGATTAATCTCAGACGGAATCACAATCAGAGCAAAGAGGGGCATTCACTTGATGGAAATGCTTCACTTGGGCTATGTCTCAACCAAAAGTGCTGTGGAAGTGACAGTCTGAAAAACAGACTTTTATCAGTTTTTCTTCATCATGAAGCAAGATGTTAGAACGGCCTAATCCATTTTCACTAAGAATACGCCATTTCCAAACTTCACCTTCAGAAAAAGAGCTATTATGGTGCTACCTGTCTGTATTTCTGAAAAAAACACCCAGTTACGCTTACTGAGATGGGCGAAAACAGAAAATCATTTTTCTTTAAAACACAGAATTGTACTTTCCTTGAAACCCATCTGGCGTGTGTGTCGGGGAGGTTTGGAAGGAGCCAGTGTGGGGGTGGGCATAATGGTGGCTCAGCGGCCATCAGTCATTTCACACTCACGGGGCTGAGACTTTTCATGCTCTCCACAATGGGTCTGTATCCAGTGCAGCGGCATAAATTACCTGGGGGAATGAAAGGCACGGTTTCAACTCCAAGGCCATTTCTCTGGGCTTGCTGTAGCTCCCTCATTCATACCGACTCTCTCTTTATATTACCTCCCTTGCCAATCATTTAAAAGGAATCTTTCTGGATTTCACACATATTATTAGGAGTTACTCGGGACCTATTTACGGGGTACACTCTCAAGAGAGGTACAGAACAGAAACTCGGTGAAAGGAAAGGACAGAAAATGCCACTGTAAGGGACACAACTCACATGCCAGAGATGTGCATAGCTTGTGAATATTCACTGCTTGGATCCAGATCGTTTTCCAGGATACTTGTGTAGAGAAAGTAAGCACAGGGTCTCATTACAGAAACGAGAACTTCTATGCCACCTTCTAGAGGGCGCTCCTCTAGATAAGACTTGAGTTCCTAAATCCAGGGTTCTTCCTTGTAACATGACCTATCACACCCACGGGGGTTACTGGCTCTATCGGAACTGCCTTGTGGGATCTGGGACCCAGGACCCGCTGCTCCAGCCATGCTGACTCTGTTGAGTCACTGACCCAGCTGGAGAATCTCACATCTCCACCAGCATCCCACAACAGCGGCAGGATAACTTGTTAGCCCGCAAGCAGGGTGAAATCGCAGACCCTTGCAAGCTCTTGAGGACCAGTAGGTGGTGTTAATAATCTCATACTATCAGAGGGACTGACCCCGACACAGAGGGGCCATCTCACCTTGCCAAGTCTCTTTCGACCACTGGCTCTCCCTGTTATCAAGTGAGATCATAGACTCTGAGACTATGATGGCATTTCTGTTCTGTTCTGCATTTTACACAACGTTTTCACAGACTCCTTCAAAACAACAATCGGCATCAGAAGTCCTTGTGACAAAGCATTGTCCCCAAGGTCAAGGCCCACAGACAGGCACACTGCCCACCACAGAGCAGGCAGTTGTTAATGCTTACAAAAGGACAGGGACTGCATTAGGAAGAGAGATGACTCGAAACATACATAAATTTTACTCAAATGTATGAAGTGAGTAGAGGAGTCTCTGTCATTTTTCTAGAGAAAATAATAAGAAAAAAAACAGTCCTGTAAACAAATTCAGACAAGGCGATAAAGGCGTGGGGTCTACATCAATCACCCAGGTTCAAAAGCGGACTCTCCCCCTGGCTAGGTTTAAGGTCTGGGGCAGTAACTGCATCATTTTGTACCTCAACTTCCTCTTCTGCATAACTGACATGTAGTACGTCTCATGGAATGATACAGAGGACAGAAAGCATTCCAGAAGTTAGCTGTTGTGGCAGTCCTAGATGTAAGAGCACAGACTGAAGGCATACAAAGAATCACTTCTGTCTTGGTGCAATGAGACTTTGGGGGTCTAGCAGGAACCTCTAAAGCCTGGAGAGATGAGACTCGGTAAAACACGTGGCAATGTTACAGAATAAAAACTAACCAAGGCGGCAGGACCTAGGATCATCAAGTACGTATTTGAGAGGAAATCCAAGTTCTCTGAAGGAAGGGTATCGAGACCATTAGGGTGACAACTTATTGAGAGACACAGGCCGCGGGCTCCGTAGCACATCCCAGGCCACGCTGCTTCCTACAGGCGATTGTCCTGGTTTACTGTTCCCTTCCCTAACTTGCTATTTTAACCCCGATTCTCTGATTCTTAGCTGCCTGTGACTTTTGAAATCTGCTTGTAGCCCCTCAGATTTCAGCAAAATGTCAAGACTCCTTTCCTGACGAACCCGGCTTCCCCTTTGACTCAAGGCTCTGCCTGACTATTTCCTTTCAGAGCCCCTGCAGCCCTTATGTGGAAACCCTTCATACTGCCAGCACCTTCCTACTAGTTGGGCCCGCATCTGGCTGCTAGAGGGGAAGGACCACCCAGGTCACCTGACCCAATGCAAGGTATGGACAGAACCTTTTTTGGAGAAGCTGTAACAGAAGAAGCCACCGCTGAGAAAGCATCCTTTAGTGACCCAAGTTTGAGCGGTTTCACCTCTGCTAAAAAAAGCGGGGGGGGGGGTCTAGGGTAAAGACTTTTTGAGGGTCATGAAAGAGAAACCAGTGTCCAGCAAGGCTGTCAAACTAACCACAAAGACTATGATATGACAATGGCAGGTGTTGGGGACAGGATCTCTGAAGGTGAAGACTGCTCAATGTTCTTCCGGGCAGTAGTTGTGAAGAGGCAATTTCAAAGAGTGCGGCACAGTGACAGAGCCCCCCGCCCCATCCCCATACTGGTCAGAAACCACAGATGGATTCATTGGTATAGGAGCAGGGGAAGCACTCAGCTGTGGGGCTGTAGAGGATGTAACTGGATGTGACAAGATCTGAGGGAGGAGGGCTGTGATCAGGTTGCTTCCCGACCAGCCAAACCAGAAAGGAGAGAAGAAATGCTGAACGTCATGAGGTAAAGCAGAGAATGAAAGGCCAAGTGTGGTACAGAGCAGTGTCAGCTCGACTGGACACGAGACCGAGGCAGGTTGTGGAGAAAATACTGTCATCATCATCATCATCATCATCATCATCATCATCATCAACACATCAAAAAGAGAACAACCGTAACCGAGTAACATTAAGAGATGCCTGAGAGAAGGCACAGCTGTCTCCTTCTTATAACTGCTCACGTTTCTCACAACATCAAGAGATGCTCAAGAGAAGGCAGGATGTCTTGTTCTTCAAATCACTCACATGTTTCTTACAACAGGAATACCTGGTAACTAAGCATTGGCCGGGCTTTGTTCAAAAAGCCTTGAAGTCTAAGATACATGGAGACTTTAAGAGAACTTGTAGCCTCTTTGAATTTGTTCAAGATGTCAGATGGATCAAGGGAATTAGGTCTCATGGCAGGATGAGCTTGTGAAACTTTGAGCGGCAATCTTTGTGAGACATAACAATAAGCCAACGTAGTTCTAGAACATTGGAGACAGCCAACCCTTGGCCTGTTTTTTTTATTTTTTACTTATTTTTATTTTTATTTTTTAAAGATGGGTATTAGGTGAGGTTGACTCTACTCTTGGCCAGATCTCTGGATCTGTCCTGACAGGGGTTATTTGTGACAGAGCCTAAAAACAGTGTTGTCTCAGAGGAGACGAGGGACTTAAGAAAGCTAGCCTTTTCTTCTGGGATAAGAATTCTAGAGTGGATCTGCTTAATTCCACAGACATAGTGAGAGGAGATTTCCCAGGGCATTTGACAAGTCTGGGCTCCTCTGTAGTGAGGACAGAAAATGTCAGTGCACGAGACACAATTAAACAGCAGTTCAGTGTTAATGATGTGGATTAATTTTCTCACAAAGCTCTGCTTGACTTATTCTATTCAATAGTTTAGACCATGACTTGCATAAGGACAGAAGGCGATGTTCATCAGATTCGCAAAAACAGAGAAATTAAAAGGGGTCTTGACAGAATGATACGCGCATGTAAGACTTGAGGAGAATAAAATTTTTCGCGAGGACAAAGGAGGAGAAATTACCTTTGAGGTCTCAAGGCATTTCAATGGCATGCATGCTTATGAGTCACCGCATTTTCCTCCTTAATTTCATAGCGTCTGTGATTTCATGAGCATCAGTTTTACTCCAGGAATGAATGTGACAGCCCCAGCCACAAACAAAAACAAGCCACAAGGTAGCTGCTCATGTAGGCTAGCTCCAGTCGCCTAATCGCAAGACCCCAACGTCTTAATATTTCCAAACACCATCTCAATAGCATTGTATTTACACCAGTGACGCCCAGTGACTACTTCAGTCAGCATATGGCATGCCAATATGTAACACACTAAAGTCCCTTAGATGATATGTTGCCAAGAATGTCACAGTTCCATGGGGAATGCACTTGACTGTCTCCTGGTTGCCTCAGTCTTCCCTCCTGCTCAGTGGGGATGAATACTTTTCAGCACTGATGAAGTGTAGCTCATAAAGATCAGCGTTTAGACCTGTGTCACGTGCTTTGGCTTTCTGGGCATGGAGATGCTCCAGCATCCCCGTTTCCTGCTGCCTCCTTATCCTACAATTTAAGAAGTCACGACTTACCGCCCAAGGTTTCTGTTAACTGTTCTGTGGAGGGTTCTGGATGGTTCCTCAGGAGAGCGTAGCTGCTCATCACCATGCCTGGAGTGCAGAACCCGCACTGGGTACCATGGCCTTTGGCAATCCTTTCCTAAAAACGAAGAGCAGGAACACTCCAGGCTGAGAATTTCAGTCCTCAGAAATGAAATGAACTTCTTTGTCTGGTGAAACTACAGGCAGGTGTAGGCCCTGTCGCATAGTGTAAGAGCCAAAGTCAACCTGTAAGCCTCACTTGCCTGAGGACCAGGTAACTTCCTGGAATGCCGGGAGTTGTAGTTTTTGGAAAATAACAAAGCCACGTGGGAAATACAGTGTCCTTATGGTTTTGCCCTTAAGAAGCCCTATAACATGTGTCTCATGGCCATTCACTGGGAACTGGTTTTAGTTAAAGTTTGCTTCAAATTTGGCTCAGAATTGTGGAGCTGGTTTTTTTGTCGTGAGTCTCAGGACTAACAATAGGAACCACGAACACTGCAATTGTTCATATTTACAACACCAGGGGAGGTTTTTTGGGGAAGGTCCCATTGAAGTGTCTGAAAGGGAGTTCTCCATGTTAACCCAGTGCCTTCCACCAAGACCACTTTTATTTCAGTACTCCCTCATTGTGCTACCACACAGGCAACCCTTCTATCCTCAGTCATTCCAAATTTAATTTAAACTGGAGATTTGTTGTCAAGGACTACCTCCATGAAGGGAAATCCACCTTTTCTATCTCTTGCCTTTTGGGTTAACTTTAGTAATTTGCTGTGGATATCACTCTCTATGCTGTGAATGTGTGTTGCTCTGATTGGTTAATAAATAAAATACTGCTTGGCCAGTAGCCAGGCAGGAAGTATAGGCGGGACAAGCAGAGAAGAGAATTCTGGGAAGAGCCAGACACAGAAGAGGAAGCAAGATATGCAGGCAGAACTGAGAAAAGGTACCAAGCCACATGGCTAAACATAAATAAGAATTATGGGTTAGTTTATATGTAAGAGCTAGTCAGTGGTAGGCCTGAGCTAATGGCCAAGCAGATTTAATTAATATAAGCCTCTGTGTGTTTACTTGGGTCCAAGCGGCTGTGGGACTGGCAGGTAAGAGAGATTTGTCCTGACCATGGCAAGGTGGGACACAGGAAAACGTCAGCTACCGTAATTACCTGAAGTTTTGTTCACATTTGGATAGTTTTACTAAGAAATATTTACTGCATGAACTGAAAGATTCTGTAAATACTTGGCCTGGAGACTGATAATAGTTGTGTGCTTCTGATGGGAAGGGTCCCTTAGAGGCAGGAGGACAAGCAGGCCTGTGATTTGGTAGTCTGCCAACCATCTCTTGAAAAAGCAATGATCTCGTGTGTGTGTGTGTGTGTGTGTGTGTGTGTGTGTGTGTGTGTGTACAGACACATGTGTGTGTGGAGGACAGATGTTAATGGCAAGGGTCATCCTCATTGTCTACCACTTCACTGAACCCAGACCTCATGAATTCAACTAGAGCGTTTGGCCAGCAAGCCTCAGGAATCCTCCTGTCTCTGCCTCCCTAGTGCTGGGACCTGAGGTGAGTGCCATTGGACTCCTTTTATATGAGTACTGGGGCTAGAACACAGGTCCTCACACTGTAGGCAGGCACTTTATTGGTTAGACCATCTTCCCAGCCCTGCTGATAGTCTTTATGGAATATATTTTGTGTGTGTACCTTGGAAAGGTATTTTTCAGGCTAAGGTGAAAATCCTTGTTCTGGAAGAGCTTATGACTTAATTTTGGGGCTGCTTAGCACACACAACCTTTATAGGAGACTGTCACAGCATAAGTGCTAAGTGCAAATATGTAGGCCACAATATTAGTTTTTCTGACTAGAATCAGCAGCATGGCTATTTACACATTTACCAAAGAGAGTACACGTCCCAGTTTTTTCTCATTTTCTTGTCTAAACCAAGATACATGGGAGTCGTCTCCTTTGTAGTCTTTGTGGTAAAAAACCAAAAGATTTCCAGAAAGTGGTGGGGCCGCTGAGGCTGTGAGACAATGGAAGGCAGCCAGTCTACCGGCCACTTTCTCCAGCCTCTCTTCCCCACCCAGTCTACAGGCCACTTTCTCCAGCCTCTCCTCCCCACCCAGTCTACCAGCCACTTTCTCCAGCCTCTCCTCCCTGCCCAGTCTACCGGCCACTTTCTCCAGCCTCTCCTCCCCCTCCGTCTACCAGCCACTTTCTCCAGGCCATCCTCCCCACTCTTCCAAATAAACTTCAAGTGGCGATAAAGAAAGCCTCGAAAGGATTTCGAGGGATTCAGGAGAAAAAACGGTGTCTCTTTCTGTAAAGGGAACAGAGCCCTTCACTTACCATCTTTGTCCTCTAAACCATAAGCCAAGGTCTAGAAAACTAACGAAGTCACCTAAACCTGTGTTCTGGTGTCATTTCTGTCACTATGACAACTACCTAACCCCAAGCAGCTTGGGGGGGGGGTGGACAAAAGGTTTATCTGGATTACAGTTCAGGTCACAGTCTATCAGTGAGTGAAGTCAAATCAGAACTTGAAAGCAGGCCTGCTTGCTAGTCCACATAGCCTTACCTCCGACCAGGGAACTCAATTCCAAACCAAAGAAGTGTGGTAAGAACTATGGAGGGTGCTGCTTGCCGGCTGTCAGGCAGGCACGTGCTTAGCCAGCTTTCTTATATAGAACCACCTGCCTAGGGAATGGTGCTGCCCACTGTGGGCCGGGCCTTCCTACATCAATTCACAGTGGAGACCATCCCCTTCAGACACACCCACAGACTAACCTGATCTAGACGGCTCCTCAGTTGAGGTTCTCTTCCCAGACAACTCTAGTTTGTGTCAGGTTGAGGGTCAACGATAACTAGGACACCTTGTTAAATCTTAAACTTGTTAAAACAAGCTCTTACCTGGACGGGGTGAATCCTGGTCTTGGTGCTTCCTATGCCTTCAGCAGTGGTGACAGCAGCCCCATGAAGAGAGCAGATGGGAACCAGGCAGGCAGCGACGGAGAAATGACTTCAAAGTTCATGCAGCGAAGTAAAAAAGAATTCACAGAAACAACAGTAGTATTGGAAAACAAAACAAAACAAAAAAAAGATGCATTTACAGGATTATAATTACTTTGACAGGAAGATAATTGAGGGCATGTTAAAATTAAATCATCAAATGAGTGATTTTGAATTTAACTATGTCTGCCTAAAAATAAATATTGTAATTAAGAAAGTCATTATCTCCCCCAAATTCTCTTGTTAAGAACAGGAGATCAAGTGGTCTTGGTGGATACACCCATTTCATCCCGTTGGCTGTAAAAGCTAGTTAAACACGGAGCTGTTTCTCTCCTGAGCGGTATCAGTTGTGTGTGGTTTTAGAAAAAGCCTGAAAGGCTTGGGACGAAGTTAAGTGAGGTGACCTGTGAGGTGAGTCATGTGGTAGTTCCACCACAGTCTCCGTCCCATGAATACAAGTTTGCCTGGTCCCCTGGGCATGGGGAAAGAGTAACTTCACAGGTGGAAGGAAGCAGGCTTTCACAGCTCTCTCGGGGTGGCAATTATTCGAAGGATCTTGGCTTTCCAGACCAATGGACTTGGGGGGCTCATGATCTAATACTCACTAGTTCTATGGGGGTGGTGAGAGCACAAATTCCCCCCAGAACCCGAGTTTCCATCGTTTGTAAAATGCAGTGCCAGCGTTGCTAGGACTCGGGACTACTCTGTGCCACACTCTTCAAATAGTAACTTATAAGTTGTGTATTTCAGTTCCAGCTCATAAAACCGAGGTTGTCTCAGATTCCTTTCTGGAGTGAAATACATTCCTCAGTGTGCCAGGAATAAATCCCACGGGGAGCCGGTCTGGGGTAGGGGAAGGGTACCTGATCTTTTTGAAGACGGGGTCATATCTTGAGACCATCACTGTGCAGGCCCCACAGCCACCTCCTCCACAGCCGTACTTTGTCCCCGTGAGTCGGACTGGAAGGGTTATGGTTAAGGAAGAAAGAGGAACTGGAGCTTTCAGTTCTTACCATAAAAAATTTCACAAATGGCAAGAATGGCATCAGGATGGAGATATACCCTTTCTTTTCCTGTAGCTATGATAAAATGCTCTGACCAAAAAAAAAAAAAAAATAGTTTGTTCTGACTCACAGTTCAAGGTACAGTCCACCATGTGGGGCGGTCGGGGCCCCAGAAACTGAAGAAGACACTGATGTTGCATCCACAGGCAAGAAGCAGATCCTGAATGCAAGCAGGCGTCAGTACTGTTTGTTTCCTCCATTTTACAGTCCAGGATCCCCCCTGCCAGAGGACGGTCCCACCGACAATCAAGACAGGTATTCCCGTACCGACTCATAAGATAACCTTCCACAGGCATGCCCAGAGGACACCTCTCATGATTCTAGATTCTGTCAGGGAGACCATGGACACTTGCTGTCACAGTACAGGCCTTCCTGAAGTACCCCACTCATCTGAAAGGTGATGGGTGCTCACTATAAGTCAGTCAGATGCCAGGTTAGACCCATGGACCTCCAGAACAGCAAGGGAGATCCCCTTGGCCTCCAGAACTCTGAAGTCCTGGTCCTTCCTATCTAGAAAGACTCTGACTTTGGTTCCACATCAGTGTTTTCCCTTTATTTACATGAAGTCAGGAGGGGAAGGCTGAAAAGCATCCCAACCCTGGAGGATGGAGCATCCCCCGTTAACTGCAACTGAAAAGCATCCCAACCCTGGAGGATGGAGCATCTCCAGTTAACCGGAGACTCCGCAACACAACCTCTATTGGTCAAGGAAACAGAAAGGTAGGAAAGAAAAACCCAAACCAAAACCACAATAAAAGTTGGTGTGCTTGGCCTAAAAAGAGGCCAGGGAAATTGAGAGTTACCTGACCGAAAGCTCTTTAAGCTTTCAGTTCATTCTTGAGTTGACATCGGGGAGGACAGAGGGATGTAACTCTTTGTAGACACAGTGTTGGTAGCTAGTTTAGAAATCAGCAAGTCTTTCGCAGTCCTTGAAGATGCTATGCAGGCTACTTGGGGACAATCGTCATGAGTATTTTTATTCAGCTGTCTACAACACTATCGGCTGACCAGGCAGATGTGTCCACTAGTACAGCCGTGGCTAGTCTGTCATTGGGGTAACCAACGACTCTGCTTGGATTTGAATGGCCCACTGTCAAAAGCCTGTGACTGAGGAGGTCATAGGCTGAAGTAGGGAAGTAGCTGTTGCTGTTTTGGTAAATGGACTTGGTACACTTGTCAGACTGCCTTCTAAATAATTTTGCTCATGCCCATAGATGAGTGCTGCTGTCTGATTTGGTCCAAAATGATTCTTTTTTTTTTTCTTCTTTTTTCAGTGGGCAGCAGCAACTGCAGAGACTCATAGTTGGTCACAGTGATGAAAATGAGTGACTGCTGATGCTCAGCCATAGGTGGACATCTAAGAGGACATCACCCCCTCTAAGATTTAGGGGTCATGGTGGAAGAGGCTGTCTCCTGGGTATGATATGGCTGTTGGACTCTTGAACTCAGAGAGCATCTGTGACCACCTGCCAGGACTTGCACAAGAGTGGTACTGGAGATGTAACCAACCGTCTTATTAAATAAGAAACACAGAACCAATGCAAAGAAGAAAGCCAAGAGGTCAGAGCTCAGAGCTACAACCTTACCCTTCCTCCTGCGGTGGTCCTACCACTCCGAACCAGAGCTACTTCCTGTGTATCTGTCTTTTTATAGTGTTTCTGTTCTGCCTTCTCATTGGTTGTAAACCCAACCACATGACCGCCTCGTCATGGCCTGTCTGTATAGATCTCTATGTTTTCTATGATTGATATTGAGATTAAAGGCAGGTGTATCCAATACTGGCTGTATCCCTGAACACACAGAGACTTACCTAGCTCTGCCTACCAAGTGCTGGCATTACAAGCATACGCCACCACTGCCCTGCTTTCCTATGGCTTGCTAATAGCTCCTACCCCCGGGCAACTTTATTTATTAACATGGTGCCATTGATATTCTATCATCGGGGCTGGGATGTCTCATGCAGCACCACGCCTCTGAGGATTTATAGACAGTTAACGGTTGACAGGAGAGGAAGAGACGTTTTCTTCAGGGGCGAAGCCACTGGTTCAGGTGTCCATGTTCTGGTAGATAACCCGTACCCGTGGTCCCGTAAGCAACCCTCGTGGAGCTCACTGAGTCATAGAAAAGAAAATATACATACAAAAGCAGAAGAGAAGGAAGCTGGGGAGAGGAAGGAGGTCATCAAGGGTGGGAGGGGCAGAGGGGAGGGTAATGGGGTGACCCCAAGGACAGTATAGGTGTATGAAAACATCACGGGAGGCCCATGATTACCTATAGGGACACAAGGCCAATAAAAGCACAACAGAAGAAATGAGCATGCTTCAAGGTCGTCAAGGAAGGGTCCCTTTCTCACCATCAGTTTGGGACCCAGTCACTACGGCCCTGCTGACGTGGCAGTTCTTCAGGAAGGGGAAATGTCCCAATTGCCCCACCTTAAGATTTAAAATACCATGTGAGGAGAGAACTGAAGTGCAGGTAAAGGTCAGGCAGGTGGACGGAGCAGGCTTTTCCTGAATCCTGCACGGGCTACTTCCTCCCGGGAAAGTGGGGCCTCTTTTCCTCTTCACTTTGTTTTCAGAACAGAGTCTCAGGTAACACTGCACTTCTGATCCTCCTGCCTCCACCTCCTGAGTGCAGGGCTTATGGGCAGGTACTACCACACCTGGTTTATGTGTGTGTGGTTCTGGGCCTGAACCCAAGGATTTGTGCATGGTAGGTATGTACCATATCAATTGAGCTCCATCCCCAGGCTAAGCCAGGCCATTTTATAGATATTTTTTTCATTTTTCTCTTTAATTATTTTTAACCTACTCTGTTATGTGATTTTGGGTAAATCAATAATAAATAAGTAAATAAATCTGTATATCTGTATTGTAGCTCTGACCCCATATGGAGACATGATTTTTATGAACTACCAGGGAGACTGTATGATTATTATTAGCTTTCTGATAAAGAGCAAAGATATATCTTCTTCAGTAGTTACTCCAAATGGGCCTGTCAATCACCTGGACTGGGAAATGCTCCTCAAAACACTGTCTGCTCCAGAGACATGAGGACGAGACTATAACAACCCACTTAAACACGCATATTGGCACAGTGGTCCTTTTGGCCACTGTCCACCCTCACTCCTGGGAGTGTCCTGTCAGCCTACAATACATTTGCCCATCTTCTACATTACGTTCTGTGTCTCCCGAACCACAGGTGGCAAGCGAACAGGGAACAGCACTAAAGTCTGTCAGGGTTTCTCCTTGGATGTTCCCGTTCATTGCCTGAGTAGTCAATGGGTGAAAACAGCACACATCTGGCTAGTTATGCGGGTGTGAAATCAAGGAAAACCTCACCCGGCCCGGACACGGACAGGATTGACAGATTGATAGCTCTTTCTCGATTCCCGTGTGGAAAGAACACACACAAAGGCACATGCTCATACATGTACATGCATGCACATACACACGTGAATGTATGCACATACGCACATATCCACACACATGCACACTTACACATACATGCATGCATACACACACACACATGCACACACATACAATACATATTATACACAGAGAAATTTTGAAGAATATGGATTTATCCAGCCCTGCTTCCAAGAACACAAAACTATTCTGAAAAACCTCCCAACTGGCTAGTCTGCCTTCTAGAGGAGGATTTGACTGGTTCCCAAACTCCAATCTCTAGGTGACCTCTGGTGCCTCATCCTATCTTGGTCCAGTTTAGAAACTGCCTGTCCCCAGGCAATGAACGGGAACATCCAAGGAGAACCCCTGACAGACTTTAATGCTGTTTGCTGTGAGCTTGTGAACAAATGAGGAGTGTGTGTGTGTGTGTGTGTGTGTGTGTGTGTGTGTGTGTGTTCACATGCACATGCAAGCATGTCTTGGTATGTATATCAAGGTCAGAGGAGAACGTCAGCTGTGAGCCCTCTACCTTGTCTTGAAACAGTATCTTGCTCACTGCTCACTGCTTACCCCAGGCTAGCCCAGGAATGTCCAGAGACTCTACTCTCTTCATTCCCCATCTGGCCAAAAGAACACCAGACGATAGGCACTACCATGCCGGCTTTTTGTGATGTCTGGGGAACCAAACTCCGGCCCCCACACTTGTGTGGCAAGCGCTTTCCCTCCTGAGCTCCTTTCCTGCTTCTGAACTTCACGTTTTAACCACCGTCCCCAGGGGATCCTTAGACTTGCAGACATTCGGACATCCAGTCCCGTTTACAAGACAAGCAGCTTCGAGATTCCTACACACAAGCAAAACATTCCCCGTGAAATGTGGTGGAAACAGTTCTGTAAATGCAAAAGAGACCACAGTTCCCAGAGTTGGAAATTTCGTTCTGTTTTCACCAACAAGCAAAAGGATACTGACTTTTCTCAGATAGAACAACAGATTAACTTCAGGGTCTGCATTCCTCTCGATGACCTGGACAGGGGACATGATTATATAAGTAGAGGCAGTTTCCATTTTGATCTCTAAACCGTAAGAATGCTTTAGAACAGGTTTGTTGATCTTATTTGCCTGACTTGATTAAACCTCACTCTTTGCAGTGATAAAAAAAAATCATACGCTGCTATATGATACTTGGTCAGACTTTGACAAGTGAATGTTTGGCTTTCAGAGGAGGAGCAACCAGTCTTTGAATTCTAGCACAATATCCAGTCAAGAAAATAATAAAAAGGCAGAAAAAAATTGAAGGGCCAACTATTTTAAAAATTCTTGCATTCCTACAGTATAATAAAAGATAAAGAATTAAACTGAGGGTTATAATTCTTATCACCACCTCCTAAGCATGCTTTTTGGTCTGTGTTCACCATCCAGCTTTGAGAAGTTAAGTAAGCAAGAGTTTGGCTGTGGTAGACAAACTGCATTCCTTTGGCAGTTGCAGGAAAACCATGCAAATCTCCAGCCCCTCCCCTTGGCACCAGTGTTCTAGAAGAATGGCCATCCCCCAGGAGGAGGTCACAGAGCCAGGGAAAGGAGCCCAGAGATGAAAGCCAAGGTCTCTCCCTTATTTGTTAGCCAATAGACCTTGGGCATGCTGGGCAACCGCCCTGAACCTTCACATAGCAACGGAG